AATGGCTGGGGCAGAACAGAGCTGCGGACACTGAAGAGCTGATGAGCAGGCAGGGCTTTTATGGGGCTCCTGTGGTCCAGGCCGAGGCAAGCTTCTTGGGGTCAAGGCCCAGGCAAGGGGAGAACCTCCCTAGCTCTGTGACTCCCTGTTATACACTCCAGCCCTCATACCCACCTCAGACTCTTTCTTGCTCCCATAATGCACTGAGACTCTGTCTTAGTCTGTTTGAGCTGCTATAACAAAAATACCATAAACTGGGTGGCTTAAGCAACAGTGATTTCTCATAGTTCTGGAGGCTGGGAAATCCAAAATCAAAGCCCCAGCTGATTCAGTGTCTGGTAAGATCTTGTTTCCTTGTCCAAGATGGCTGTCTTCTCTCTGTGACTTCATATGGTAGAAGGGGGCAAGAGAGCTCTCCAGGGCCCCTTTTCTAAGGGTACTAATCCCATTCATGAGGGCTCCATCTTCATGACTCAGTCACCCTCCAAAGGCCCCACCTCCTGATACCATCACACTGGGGATTAGATTTCAACCTATGAATGGGGGGTGGGGTGCACATAGAATTTAGTCCATAATAGATTTTATTTCTTTATTTGAGAGAAAGAGAGAGAGAGAGAGAGAGAGCATGAGCAGGGGTGGGGCAGGGTGTGGACAAGGGCAGAGGGGGAGGGAGAGGCAGACTCTCCACTGAGCAGGGAACCCAACGCGGGGCTTGATCCCAGGACCCTGGGATCATGACCTGAGCTGAAGGCAGATGCTTCACCAACTGAGCCACCCAGGCACACTGAATTTAGTCCATAATAGACCTCTTGGTCGGTTTGCTGAACTTGACGTGCTTGGTCCATTCTCAACTGGGTAGGTACATCCCGTCCTCTCAAAGGGCTCATAATTGTGGTAAGAGAAGTTCCTGCCTCAGCTCACTGGAGCCCCACTAGGTGGACCACCCTGCCTGGCCTCTCTGCTTGGCCCGGGGGGTGGGGGTTGAGTGGGGGTGGGGCTGGGGGGTGGACACTTCCTGGCATCAGGCACTGTGCCCAACAAGATCTGAGCTCAGACAAACGGGGAGGCCAGCCTCAAAAGGATGGAGACTACTTATCTGCACAGAGCCAACATTTCCATTAACTTAGTAAACTGAGACCTTTGTTCAGTTAAGTCATTAAAAAGAGGATGAAAGTAAATGGCATGTGTCCTTTGATACACATGGAGGGGGCCCACAAACAAAAAAAAACCCTACAGTTTGCCTGGATGGAGTATTTCACTTTACAACGTGCCTTTCTGTCACACCAGTCTGGTCTCTGTCAGACCAGAGGCCTTATTTGTCATTATGATTATTTGCTATTATTAGGCACATTCTTACTTGCCTGTGGTCTGCTTCTTTCAGGTCCAGGCTTGTGGGCCTATGTTAATTTGCAGGGTTGAGTTATTTACATTGTATTATAATCTAGTCTATCAATTTCTTACACTTTCCTCCTCAAGATGATCACTAATTCAAAATGAATTAAATTCCTAAAGGCAGGGGTGGGGGGAGAGGGGACAGAATTGGATTTGAGAAGAACTGTAGGCTTCTCTGTGTTTTGCCTCAGCGTCCTAGACCCCAGCGGTAGGAGCAAGTGGGCATTCCCACTCTCGGCTCACTCCAGCTCGGAAGCAGAGAGAAACGGGAAGATAACACAGATAAAAACACCAACCCCACCCAAGTGACTCAAATGAAGGCGCGTCTCTGAGTCTTTGTGTTTTCCTGAAACTCGAGGTCTGAACATAGATGAGAACTGTCCAGCTGCCTGTGCTCCAACGGGAGCCCCAGAAGTCTCCAGAAAGCCTCTGACCCGTTCCCTTCCCGCTCTGGCTCTGTTTCCTTCTTTGCTGAGGGTCCCTATTTGTCAGAGCAGAAGGGGATTGCATCAGTCAGTTTTGAATCAGACGACACAAAAAATAAGTGACAACCCTCCTTGGAAAGGAAAAAAATAGTGGTGAATTTTTTTTTTTAACCACCCCTGGCTTGTTAGGCCACACAAAGTATGTTACGGAAGGGGGCCGGGATTTCAGGTATATAAAGGGACAGCAATGTGATCACTGAATAGGATGGGGGTTGGGTAGGAAAGCAAGGGCTGGATTCAGCCTCACGGTTCCCCTTCTCCCCCTGCAGGTGAGAAGAGACACAGGAGAGACAGCAGTAGAGCGGTGTAGGGAGGGGTGGAGAGGTGGAGGGACACAGGGGTGTGTGTGGGGGGGTGCAGGTGTGCCCCTGAGCACACTGCTACAAGGAGGGAGCAGAGAAAGGCGCCCAGGGTAAGAAAAGAAAAAGGGATGGAAGCTGAACCAGAAAATACTCTGGGCAATAATGTGAGAAGCATATGATGCATTTGTCCACTCTGTACGTATTTATGGGCTGCTGCTCTGCGCCGGGCATGTTCTAGGCTCTGAGGTTACAGCAATAAGTGAAATCAAGCCCTTGCCTTCAGGGAGCTTAGGTGCTAATGTAATACATGGCAGGCACTAACAGACATCATCTCATTTATCGACCCTGCAAGGTGGTTACTACCATCCCCCTTCTATAAATGATGAAACGGAGGCAAAAAGAAGCTGTAAATACTTGCTGAATCTTACAGTAGAGCCAAAATGTGAACTCAGGTCCATCTGAGTCCAGAGCCCCTGCTTTGAACCACTGGAACGCGATAGATGCACCTAGTAGGGAGTCCTGAGCGAAAGCCCATGGGCCCTGCCTTAGTTGTTAGATCTCATTGGACAGACCAGTTTTCCTCCTCGAACCTCAGACTCGCCTTCTGTAAAAAAAGAGGGGTTGGATTAGTTGATCTCTGAAATCGCTTCTCGCTCTGCTCTAGTGTTCTGTTATTACGGGGGGAAAAAATTCTATATTGGTACCCTCCCCCCTCCCAGGTACCTCTTGCGGAGGTAAGCAGCTCAGTAGATGTTCCAAAAGAGGTGGACACCCAAATAATGTTTCCTACGCTGGGTTCCAAGGGTTTCTTTCTAGGGATTCTGGAGTTTTCCGTGAGAATTTTGCTTTTGTGAATCAGATTCCTTGAGGGAGAGAGAAGCTCCAGAGAGAAACAGCTCTGGGGTTGCCCTCCAGGCCAGCAGAAGAGGGAGAGAAAGGGGGTGGGAGGGAAGATGGGGAGGAGGGCCCGCTGGAGATCTGGGGTTCTTTTTTTGTTTGTTTTTTAATACCTAGCCAGTCGATACCGTGCACAGGTCCATCCCACCTGAGGCTGGGGGAGGTGGAAGGCAGTGGGCCCATCTGAGACGCAAGGCTCAGAGCCTGGGAGGGTAGGTGTGGTTCAGGATCTGCGAGGTTCAGGATCTGCGAGGTTCAGGATCTGCGAGGATCCAGCTAGCCTGTTTGAGGGAGGAGGGACGTGTTGCCAAATGGTAACATGTGACCGAGCAAGGTGAGCCGGGTCCCAGTTCTTCACCCTAACCCTGCCTCACCTTGCCTGACAGGTCAACCGCTCTAATGTGAGCTTTGTTGGCTGGGAAAGTGAGGCGGCAGGAGTCTGGCTCACCCAGTGGCTGAATGCAGCCCAGGTCCCCCTGATAAGCTTAGTCAACTTATTAAATTACACAGGAAAAATCGAGATGGAATATTAATTCTGCACACCTCTCCTCTCTGCCTGGGGAAGCTGCCTTCCTGGATTTCACTTTTCAAAGGCTGAAACAGATACGGAGATTTCGCGCTGAATTAAAGGCGAAGGGTGCTCACTTCAAGTCTTTTCAACACCGTTTTGGTTCTGAGCCTTGTGGAGCCAGTGGAGACCCAGTCGCCATCTGGCATGAGAGGCGTTAACTTGGAGTCTCTGGTCAACTCTAGACATCAGATTCAGAAACAAAGAGAATTAATTTCAGAGGCCCCCTTAGACAGCCCCTCCCCCCGCCCCAGCCTGTAATTTGAGAGCCCATGTAGTGACTTGCTAGGTATTAAAAAGTTAGGTCTGGGAGGTCACCTGCAATGCAGAACGCCAGGTGCCAGGGCTCACCCCACAGGGCAGGATTATCTTATCAGCCAGGCTGATAAAACCAGGAAAGTCTGGCCATAAGGAACAAATATTTATAAGCCCAACACCTTTCAGTCCATAACAGATTAGGCACAGACTGTGAACAGGAGCAGAGGGTGAGTTAGCAATCTACCGTGGGCATCAAAGCCTAGTTCCTGATCAGAAACCTCCTGGGCTTGTCCCGTCTCATTAAGAAAGCCCGTTGAATGTCAAACTGTTGGGGAGGCATTTTCACCTCCCTCACCTGAGCCTCCTGACAGCCTGGTGAGAGCTATTATGACCCCATTTTACAGTTGAGGAGACTGAGGTGCAGGGGTTAAGTGATTTGCCCATTGGCCCAGCTCGCAGGTGGGACTTGAACTCAAGTCTTGTGAGTCTAGATCCTGTGTGCTTTCCACGCTGCTGCTGCCCTGGTGGCCTTGGCTGGTTCTCACCTTGTCGCAGACCCTGCTCACTTGCAGATGAGACAGACCAGAATCACATGGAAAGGTAGAAGGAGATGGCCCCCCTATGGCGATGCTCCAGGTTGCTATTAAATAGCTCTGGGCCCCAATACTCTGGTTTCTCTTCAGATCGCATAAATCTTTCGCCTTTTACTAAATAGCTCTGGGCCCCAAATATGTAATCCCTCCTGGTCTCTCCCAGGGCCTGGAATTCATTCCTTTGGGTCCCCAAGTCTTTTCTGTTTATTCATTCTCCCTGGGAGAAGTGATTAAATGATTAAATGCAAATGAATTAGCATGAGAGGCCCTTGGTGTCAGAGGAGGAGTCACTGATTGGAGGGGTCACTGATTTGCCCTAGTGCGGAGAAGGGCGGGGGAGGGGTGTGGACCCGGAGGAAGCCCCCTCCCTTGGGATTCCAGGTTTCTTCTCTGCCAAAGAACAAAGTCAGACTAGATGATCTCGGACAACCCTACTGTTTGGACCTCTCAGGCGAATTCTTTGGGGATCAGGAGCCCCTTAACACTCTTTTCTTTGCATCCTCAGCCTCAAGAGTGGGAGTGTTCAAGAGGAAGCAACTTCTAAGCTAAGAGGAGAAGAGGTGAGTGGCTGGGGTCAGGACCGGCCGTGCAGAGGCCTGAAGGTGAACACAAATGTGTGTGTGTGTGTGTGTGTGTAACCATGGGCCTGAAACTTGGGTTACAAGAGGGTGAGAGGCGAGCCTCGAGAGAGAAGCAGGAGTCTTGTAAAACCGCATCAGGGAGCTTGGGCTTTATCCTAACAGCGGTAGGGAGTCAGGAAGGGTTTAAAGCCAGGAAGTGGCATGACATTTGTGTCTTAGAAACTGGTGCAAATGTGCAGACTAGATTGAAGTGGGGGCCCAGGGAAAGCAGATGGGGGGGAGCCCAGGAGGAAGGGCAGTGGGAGAAAGGCTCCAGGTGGACTTATTTCTGCTTCCCACCCCTTTTCGTCTGCCCCAGGCTGGACTGGTTGTCATAGCTGTATTTGCAAGAGTGGTAATAACGGCTACCATCTACAGAGAGATGCTTCCCCTGTGCCAGGTGCTGTGTGGGGTGCTCTGCTTGCTTTGTCTCATTTAATCCTCATAATAACCCGAGGAGGTAGGAAGTCATACCACCCATATGTTACCGATGAGAAAACTAGGCTCAGAGAGGCCAGGTGCCTTGGCCTGGGTCACACGGCTGGTAAATTGTAGCAGCAGGACAGAGGCAGAGATGCGGCTCATTCCAAAGCTCTGGCTTTTAACTACTGGATGCCCTGGCTCCTGCCGTCGGTCTGCACTCGCCGACGGCAGGATGGAGGCCTCCTGGCCAGCTTCTGCGGCAGAGGAGAACTCAAGCAGTCATCGTGGGTACAAATGCAACCTGCCATGGATCTTCTGTAACGCAACTGCGGGTTGTGTCTGGAGAGGGTGTGGGGTCTTTGGGAGTGTTTGGGCTCCCAAGGCTAGTTCGCCTTTGCCTTCAGGGGAGAAATGGAGCCGGGAGTGGGGCCGACTCTGGTGCTCATGACTCTCCCCTTCATCCCCCTTTCGTATGATGGGGACTCTCAGAAGCCATGGAGCTTCGGGAACTATTTCCCAATCCAGAGGGGAGACAAGAAGTCACACTTCCCAGAGGCTGGGGAACATAGAGGGAGAACGGCCACCACCTCTGTCACATGCTGCCTCTTCCTAAAGGGGAGCAGGGCTCCGTGTCTGGGTCAGGGAAGCCTGAAGGGCCCCCCAAGGTGGGTAGAGCCGGGCAGTGCCCCCACAGGCCTGGGTGGAGAAGGTCAGACGCTCATCCCTGATCCCTCAAAGTCCCTGGAGGCCCTCAAATGAAGTGATGAAATTCACCCACTTCTAGCCAGTGCTAAGGAGCAGGCAGGCTACTTGCTGAGAGCTTGAAGTGCAGGCTTCCGATCTGGACCCCATCATAAGGAGCTGCGTAACCGTGGAAGACTTCCTCCCCTGCTCCCTGCACCTCCATTTTCCCCCCTGGATGAGACTCTGGAGTCTGAGTATCCAGGGCCTGGATGATGAGGCTGTGGTCCACGCTGGCTGGCTTCACCACCCTCTCTGGCCATCAGCGTCTCTCGGGGCCACTCTGGAGCCAGGCTGGACAGCAGGCTGCCCCTTGGGCCCTCCACAGCCCGGGGGACCCCTGCCTGCCCACCGTAGGCCAGCATCCTGCCGATGCCCTGCTCTCCACCCCACTACCCCATAAGGAAACCAGCCCAGCGGGATTTGCTCTGGCAGTTGGAAGACAGGGCTGGCTTACATCTGCAGCAGGGCACACTGATTAATTTATTTTGCATCATTTTGCATTACCTGGCTCCAGGGCCTCCAGCTTGACGTGCAGATTTATGTAAAAGAGACCCGTCATGCAAATGAGCCAGGGCTGCCACTTGTTTTAGTAACAGGCAGGCCTGCCCGCATCACTGGTTCCAGCCGGCTGTTCTTCCCATGGCCCACTGGTTCGCACGGGCCGAGGAGGTTCATCCCCCCACCGTGCAGCCTCTGTTCTGCTCACAGCCCCGGCCAGATGAGGAGGCAGCTTGACAGCGAGGTTAGAAGGAGGAGGCTAGAAACCCCGCTTCCCTGAGGAGTTCTTGGCTGAGCTCCTCGTTAAGAGACGGGAGATGGAGGGATGAGCACACGAAACAGAGAGAGGCAGACAGGGATTTGGAGGGGCCCAGAGACAGAGCTGCGCCTAAAGCAAGCGCAGAGAGGGACAGACAGATGGACAAAGAGCGCACAGAGAAAGCACGGGGTCGGAGAGGGTGAAAAGCCAAGAGAAGCAGAGGCAAGAGACAGAAGAGGTGGGACACGAGGAGGGGGATGCCAATGGGGGGGCGGACGCCAAGAAAGGAACAGATTTCGGAGTTGCTGTGGAGGAAGAAGTGAGGAGATAGCAGCAGCCTGGCTGGGGGGAGGAGAAGCCAGGGAGGAGATGGTGACGTGGCCGTGATGGCTTGATGTGGGGTGCTGGGGAAAGGAGTCCCGGGCGGAAGGGGCAGGAGAGACCTGCAGGGAGAGACCCGGGAGCCGCCCTCTTAGAAGCAGGCAGAAAGCTTCGCTGCCACCTCGTAAGCCCTTGATTTGCATCCGTCCATCTCTATTTATACACATGGAGCTATAGAAACAGACGGATATAAACCACACGGGCACACATGGGCCAGGAGAACGCACTCGAGAGCCATGTGAGGCTCTAGAAGCGAGTCTGGGAGGTTATCTCGGACAGCAGTGTGCAGTCCTAGAACAGAGGAAGGTTCTCTCCTTCTCAGAGGGCCTGGAGGAGAGTTCGCACCCCCCCACCGCCCAGCCGCCCTGTGTAGCCCCCAGCACCCCCCGGTGCCAGAATGCTCCCTCCATGCCTGTCTGGGCCAGGCTGCCCGGCTCTGTCCTTTGAATGTGCTCCATCTGAGCATGAAAGCAAGCGAGCAAGTGGACAAGTCAAAAAGGAAAGAGGAGACCGTCTTGTTCCCGCAGCCTGTTTGGTGGGAAATTGGCTGTGTGGCAACCGAGGGCTGTGTGTAGGCCCTGGGTGGGTGGTCTTGAAGCACAGTGGAGAAGGCTGGGAAAGCGCCCTGTGGCTCTTGAATAATCTCCACTTGCCCCACCCAAGAGCTCCAGGATGGAGACAGGAGGGGGTACATCTTCAGTTTCCAAGGGCGCAGCCCTGAAAGTGTCCTCAGGGACCCAGCGGCCCCACATCGTCTTTTCCTGGGAGAGGGAACTCTGACCCAGAAAGGTCCAACAGCTTGGTCGGCGCAGAGGTAAGCGAGGCTGATTTTGCTAAGCAGCTGTCTTTCCCTCCAAATTGTCCCCCTGGCATTGGTGATCTTCCCCTCTTTTTCTGTAATTCCTCTGACTCGCCCACATCAGTGCTGGACACGCTCACAGCCCCCTGAAGAGTGGACGCTACTTTTACTCGGAGACAGATGAACTTTGTACGCGTTGTGAAAGTTCTGGGTGCACTTCTCACCGAAGCCCCAGGAAGACATAAGGCTCAGTTTAGTACCAGCTGTAGTTGCTGGTCCCGCAGCAAAGCCAACAGACAGCTCAGCCCCAGTAAAAGTGTGTCATGTGCACCCCTGGATTTCACCTGCAGAGATCAGCTTTCAGATGGGGTCTCCCAGCACCCAGCACATCTCTGGGAACCCCCCCACCCCCCATCCCTCCACATTCACACAGAAGTGAAGGTCAGCTCCTCGAACTCACTGCCTGAGCCTGATCCAGTCCACCTGGTTCAGCCACGGAACATCCAGCTCCACTCTGGCCCAGTCCTTTGGGTCACCCTAGCCAGCGTCAAGTGTCACCTTCATGTTAATCTCTAGTTCATTGGTTTTTCACCTCGTGGGGTGAGAGATCGTTTTGAGAATCTTAGTAAAGCCATGGAGGGTTTTTTTTTTTTTAAGATTTTATGTTATTTGACAGAGAAAGACACAGCGAGAGAGGGAACGCAAACACAAGCACGGGGAGTGGGAGAGGGAGAAGCAGACTCCCCGCTGAGCAGGGAGCCCAGATGCAGAGCTCTATCCCGGGACCCCGGGATCATGACCCAAGCCGAAGGCGGATACTTAACCAACTGAGCCACCCAGGCATCCCTGGAGGTGCTTCTTATAATAATGTCCATATTCCCAAGATTTTGCATAGTGTCAAGGGATTCATGCACTCTCTGAAGACTGACGGAAGCGTCCTCCTGGCATCTTCAGGCCTTAGGGAGCCAGTGTCCATGGGTGGAAGTCCCAGGACCCCACTCATTTCGGAGGGAAGGTATAGATAGCCCTGACAAGGTGGCATTCTTGGACACTTCCCACAGAATATCTTCTTTTCCTCTTTCTGTCTCAGAGATTCCCTTCTGGGCAACTATTTCTTCCATGTCAAAAGTCAGACCTAAGCTATACTATCCCCTAGTTACATATCAGAGAAGCTCAAATGACACATAATCCAAAACTCATTTCTACTTTCCACTGGACTCTCTCTCTCTCTGCCCCCTCCCAATGAGCCCCTTCTCACTCAGTCTGTGACCCTGACTCCATTTTGCCAGGGCTCAGCTGAGCACCAGATTCTGAGGTGGCTCCAGAAGATGAGCAGAGTAGGTGACGCATTTACAGAGTTGAAAGCTGGTACGTCTTGTCCCCTCATCAGCCAAGGGAGACCGTGGATGGCCACATTCTCAGAGAAAGGGCCTCTGAGGTCAAGAGTGGGTGGGAAGAGCAGAGAAGCCAGAGGAGAAACTGGTGGAGGAGGGGGCTACCGAAGTGAGGTTTCTCTCTGCAGATTCCAGCCTCTGAGCACTGTCCCACCCCCACCCCACTCCTTTCCCAAGAGCTGGTGAGAGGAGGTGGTGGGCTGCAGGCCTTAGGCCCAGGCAGGAGGAGCTGAGAGGCCTCTGCATAGAGGGGGAATGATGGGAGGGCTGGAGTCTCTGGGGGGCCAGGGCAGGGTAGGGGCATGGGAAGTTCCTTGTAGAAGGCCCAGGACTCAGGGTGGGCTGGGGCTCAGAAGAGTGAGAGCAGGCCCCTCTCCGAGGGGGTCTAGCCAGGATGTGGGGTGGCCCAGGCATCCAAAGAGCCTTTAGATGGAGAAAGCTG